AAAAGTTGTTTGATCCGGCTTCCTCTATCTGGGCAAACTGCTCTCAGGGGCAGTGTGCCATCATCTTTACTGCGGTCTGTGTTTCAACAATCTCATTTCTTCCAACTGGGACACACTTGACAATGCCGTGAACATCATTAATGGACGGAATCGAACAAATTCATAACAATTAGCGGTCATTTGACTAGCTGTCTTCCTGTGCGGGTATTCTGATGCTCGAAGGAATACGTGTCGAATAATACTACACGTTTTTACTATATGGACGAAGTTTTTTGGATAAACAAAAGTAGGAGTAAAACTTGACCTTCACATCTTAGCAACTGTATTGGTATTCACATCGTCTAACCTACTTAACGATTGCTTTTTTGGAATCCAGAAAGCAGTACATACCACATCCTATCTTAACGAAACGTACACGTCTATTGGCGTTTGTTTGCGCTTGTAGTTACCCCCCCCCCACGCATAAGAGATCTAATCAAGGGTTTACTATCATGATTACCTTTGGCTTGTGGACAATATAGAGAATCAAGGGTCTTATGACAATCCACACAAATTCGTAGGGATCATTTATAATGCGGATGGATGGATGCACTCGTACGCGCAGACGTTTCTTGATTCACCATACTACATGTGAAACATAACCACACCCGTGTGAACAGTAAGTTCATACATGCTTTTTCTCCTCTAATATTAGTTGGGCTGAAAACTTTGTGCAATTAGCACACAGTTGCACACTGTTTTACTGTGCTCCGTGCGTTACTCGCCTTCAAACACGCAATCATAATGTCGTTTTTAATTAAAATATTTCGTCAGTGTCACACTATTCAGGCTATTTAGGGCCATTCATTCAGAGATCTTGCATTCGATATCAGTTTTATGAAGAACGCTGCAAAGACCGGATGGTATTCTGATTGCGTACTTTTATGTCTGTTTTGGTCACACATAACTTCAACTAGATGCAGGTGGAGATTCATCTCTTGAAACACCAATGCCTGAATTAATTTTACCCTTTTGTAAGAACTACTCATATTCCGTATGTTTCTGATCTTAGCGTGCCATCACCGTGTCACATACATGTTTAGTGGTTAGGCCGTCATAAATAACTGCCACCCGGAGTGATCGATATTACACAGTTACAATTCGATCAATATGTTGACGGCAATTTGCACTCCAAGTGGTTTGCAACACAGCCACTCAGTAACCCCTATCATTTCACCATCGGTATTCTTCTCTTTCACACGGTGACACCAAAAAGTTTTGGCCTTTTTTACTAAGTGTACTGAGCCATTTGTGTATTTGTTAGACCATTTACTTTAAATCATGCCACAACAAGGTTGAAAACTGTGTGATACTTGTGCCAAAATGTGACTCTCCGCTCAGTAATTTGGATGGCACGTAGCGCATTTAAGCTGACAAGTGCATTTGATTGGGGTGGTACCGTACTACCTCAGGTTCAAGTGCGTGCTGGACTGTCAACAGCTTTGTCACAACTACGCGGATGAACTGTTACGCTGATTGTATTCACAAACGGTGTGTATAATAAGTGAAAATGACAAGCACAATGAACCAGAGATGCGCCCGAACTGTTTTTTGGTCGATACCGGTTAAGATAAATGGAAATTTAAACCTACCGTTGTTTAAGACTTCTTGCCTATCGATGCGTTGTGCAACTCCAGCGTGGATAGTGCCATGTACAATCAGATGGGAAGATCAATTTGCTCCACATTTCTCATAGAACGCTCAGTGGAGTTTCCAGTTTCCACTTGCGGTCGTAATCTATCTACAGCATATGTGGCGCCCATCTTGACTCAGTCGAATTCCTCGCAGTGTTCTCCGATTCAACTCCCACGTTTGCTCACGTCGGCGTTTGTACTTTGGAGCAATTTTACTCTGAATGAGCACGGAGACAAAATGTGAGCAGGATTAGGTAAACGTCAAACATATATGGCGAAATTGCAAGTTCGCAAGCAACCTACTCCACTTTATCTCATGTATTGTGAGATATGAGCTGAATTAAATGAGTCACGGCAAATATCTTCAGTCATTTTGAGCGGACAGTTAAGAAAAGAGCGATTGGCTAAATCCCGGCTGAGTCGAGGGAGTTCAAACTGATTTAATGAGTGTAAAAATCCAGTGCTAAACCAACCTAGGAGAAACAGTGCAAGAAGTGGAAAGTCAGATATACCCATCAGCAATCTGGTGAGCGCCTGTGAAACGGCGAAACGATGATATATTTGATGTGAGTGGACAAGGGTGAAGAAAGTGATGATTTTTCGGTTTTGAACTGGATGTTGTCATGTAAAACAGCCTGTGCGGCACAAATTTGGGTTCAGAGTACCCACCGTGTGATCGAACTGTTACACGCAATCTCTATTGAGATCTCGGTCATTCCGATCATCAGGATCGTATCCGAAATGGCGGGTTTCGGTGTTGCGCCCTTCCAACTGACACTCCGCAACCAGTTTCCTCCACTTTTCGCATCATCAGGTAGAGATAGTCTGAGCGTGTACTCCAAATCCAGACTCAGTTCTTCTTTAAGCCTGAGGACACATTTAAGGAATTTGGCATTATGTGTAGCGCCGGTTTATCGTTCATTTTTCTCACGTATTTTGTGGCCACCTAACATTGATTGGGTTGTTATTAGCCTCCTTTAAATCTTACAACTTTTTTACTCATCTGTATAACAAAAGCTGACCCAAATCATCTTCTTTGGGGACCAATCTCTCTTATGATCAGCTGATTTGATCCTTCATTCGTGCTTATAAGTCCTTTCGAAATTTAGACCCATCAGGATTATTTTCAGTAGCAAAAGATCTGAACACGAATCCTCAAATACTGCAGTTCAGACAGCAGCGCAACACGGGTTACAAGAAGTAGAGGACGATTTATTTCGCCTCTACACTCCCGTTGATAGGCGATGTTTTGTAGCTTATTCTGTCCAAAGAAAGCCAATGTTCTCTTATAGTAAAGAAATAGAAAAATGATTATTGCCAATTTTGATGGGTGAAAAATTTCCTTCTTACTTTAACTGCTTCCCATTCGTTAGGGCGAGTTTTTAACCAACTCATTCTACCTAATATTTGCCTAAGTTAATAGCCACGCTCTCCCTGGGTAGAATATCAGCCGGCCTATCAGTATATGAAGAGTCTAAACAATGGTGCAGCCAGCTATTGACTGTTAAATTACGAGAGAGCAACTTCCTCGACGCGTTACCTTTGAATTACCCTGTATGAATCCTCACAGGCCACTGGTCATTCACATTGGTCATCGCTTGTAGAAAATGTAGCCAAATAGCCAAGTCCGTCGACCTAATCCACTTTCCATCTAACGCTTCAAATTCTCACATTTTGTTTGTAAAATCTAACGACAAACCACCCATTCCCCCCATTGTGTCCTGAGTCCAGAGGCAGGATTAAGTCTTCCGGAACAAAATGGGATGTTCAAAAGACGAAATTTTGCAACTGTTTCTCTGAGTTTTATGCGCAACTTGACTTGCTTAATACTCATCTTGAGCGGACCTAGAATTCACTCACGATAGATTTTTAAAAAATGGCATTTATACGGAATATACTGCGGGACAGTGTTATTTTAAGGAACTTCCAAGACAAACCCAACCTAATTCTGCTTACAACAACTAAGTTAGAAGTGCTATTACCTTTCAAAAATGACATGGTTACCGAGCGTTTAAGTAGAACTAATTCAGTTAAGTCCACCTTCCCAGTAGCAACATAAAAGTCCTCGTTCACAACAGAACCACATGTAGGTACGTAACCTAAGGACGCCGTCGATATTGACCTCTTCTATGGACCTTTGTCAGTTCTAGTGAGCTGTGATCTAACCTTCTCTGGATGAACGGTACGGTAAGTGTCCAAACATGTGAAGAAGTACCACGACTGCTGGCTGCTTCAAGATGGTACTGTACTATTCTAACCCACCTCGTTGATATCAAGCGTCATGATTGGCGGCATTCGTTTCCAGATTTGCATTAACATCAGACACCAAGTGGATCTAAACCGCGACTTGAATAATGCCCAAGGTCGCCACTTACCGAACATAGGTCTGTGGGTCCGTACATCTGTGACAATTGCGGCAATTAGCACGCGGTTTTCTCAGCGGCCCTTGTGCCCACGAAAGAAGCTGTTCCCGACTCTACAGCTCCGTTGCAGGAAAATCTGGGAAGCCTAGACCAACTGCTCCAGCATAACGACGATGATACAGTGATTATAGTATTAACCTTTAGCTCGCTTGGTGGTCACTGACCACGACAAGCACGTGAGCTATACGATTAGTACTCATCCCACTAGGTTTGAAACCAGTTGTTCACTTGCTGTCCCGTATTCACGTTAACTAAATGTTTGAGTGATTTCGGTGCTGCTCTCTGCACAACGTGTTAGGGGTGGGGAACAACGCCAAAACCCCCCACTTCCATTATAGTCTTAGTGACTGGAACGACCAAAATCTTAGATCTCAATAGAGATTGTGTACTGCAGTCCAAACATACGGTGGGGAATCCAAAGCCCAACTAAATGCGTTCAACTTAAACTGAGAGTGGAATACTCTTTAAATTTGAGCTTCATAGGGAGCGGAAATAGTTCAGAAGCAACGTTACCTTCCAGCACTTTTCAAGCCAGTACATGTGATGGTCACTTCAACTGTTTCGGATAAGAATAATTAAGCTGTACTTTAGTACGAAATGAGGTCACCAGATTCAGGCCATCTCTCAGGCGAATTCCTTGTCACGTGACACTGCGAACGATGTGAGACAAGGAAGCGCTATGAGTGCAACTTGATTAAGGTTGCGGACAAAAGGGGATAGGTGATTTAGTCTGTTGGTGCCATGAATACAGCCAGGTCTAATTGTGGTTACTCCGTTTCCTTTAAAATAGACGGTCAGTATGTACAGTCACACTTAATGCAATTTCGGTTGGGACGTCTACCACATAATTTTTCGATTCGTTATTGTGCGGCGTTCATTAAATATTTGGTTCCTCTGCCCTCAGGTCTCTGATACGGTCGTCGAGCCCTACAACGCCACTCTGTCTGTGCACCAGTTGGTCGAGAATACGGACGAAACGTTCTGCATCGACAACGAGGCACTGTACGATATCTGCTTCCGTACACTCAAGCTGACCACTCCGACGTACGGAGACCTGAATCACTTGGTCAGCGTTACCATGTCTGGAGTGACAACCTGTCTTCGATTCCCAGGGCAGTTGAATGCGGACTTGCGCAAGCTGGCTGTGAATATGGTTCCGTTTCCCCGTTTGCACTTCTTCATGCCTGGTTTCGCCCCACTCACAAGCCGCAGTAGCCAACAGTTCCGCGCCGCTTCTGTGCCTGAGTTGATCCAGCAAATGTTTGACGCAAAAAATATGATGGCAGCCTGCGATCCACGCCAGGGTCGATATCTGACTGTCGCAGCCATGTTCCGTGGCCGGATGTCTATGAAAGAAGTCGACGATCAGATGTTGAACATTCAGAACAAGAACTCTAGTTACTTTGTCGAATGGATACCGAACAATGTCAAAACAGCCGTGTGTGACATTCCACCTAGGGGTCTGAAGATGTCAGCTACATTTATTGGCAATAGCACAGCTATCCAGTCACTGTTTGTACGCATATCAGAACAGTTTAGCGCAATGTTCCGTCGTAAAGCTTTCCTTCATTGGTATACGGGGGAGGGGATGGACGAAATGGAATTCACAGAGGCCGAGTCGAATCTAAACGATTTGGTTAGTGAATATCAACAATACCAAGAAGCCACTGTTGACGATGCAACCGACTTCGGACCAGAGTTTGATGAAGCGTAGTGAGCTTGAATAACAAGAAAAATCATTCTCCTTTTCGTCACTGTGTGTTGTGCAGGTTTTGAACTCAAATTTCTCAAATTTTCGAATACATGTTAAGCTTAACTACCTTATAAATACTTACTCTACTTTATCGCTTTATGCACAACAGATGTAGTGCAGCAATTGCTAATTTTTAAAGCTTCCTTAATTTGAATATTTTTGATCGCTATTTCTTGCTTGAATACTAAACTACCTCAGGTTTTGTGACAATGAACTTTGAGTACAATCAAAATGTAGCCTTGACAAATAGTAAATATTTTTAAACGGATTACTCAACTCGTTGGTCGTCCCTTCGAAAGACTGAAAAAACATATACTCAAGAGTACTGCAAATGACATTTGTACCTTACAAAATATTTATTTTTGGACTGATGTAAATGTTACTTTTGACAATCGCAGCTCGAGAATCGTGGAGAGGGGATAACTAACCGAAAGAATACATGACCAGTTTTTTAGCTGTGAATCACATATGTATCAACTCGTCGCTTTATGTAATCATAAAATACACAGCCTAATACGAAAATGTTTACAAAGCACCTTCGTTCTCTTTTGGGGAAAACGTTTTTCCAGGCTATTTTCTATCTTACTTACTTTTGTACCTAGACAATTTAAGTGTTCTTGCAGTCTGCGTATGGACTGAATGTCACCGATCTTTCATTCGACCAGAGAGCAAGTAATTTAGTAGCAAAAGGGGCTTAGATGTAAGCCAGATATTGTTTCTTGCATTGTTGCCTGCTTACGCTACAAGGAGAAGATGACCAACACGGGACTTTTGAGATGAGTGAGGGTTTAATGTTTCACTTTATTTTTAAGTGCAGACAATTTCTCAAACTAGACAATGAAATATCGTACCCCGCCGACTGGGCAGTTTCGGTACTATGAATCAGCTTCAGGAAGATATGACACCCAGACTAAGAAGGCGGGAACGGCCGATATATTAATTCAATACACCGTGAATGTATTAAAGAATTGGAAGCATAGCATACTACGAATAAACTAATCAAGACTTAACAGGTCCCGTGGGATGAATTGCGTGAATTACATAAGTCTAAAAAGTGAACTTAAAGTGAGACGCTCGCCTGTGCACTCACCATAATATGTACATTAACAAACAAGCATATCCGTTTACTGTGCCCCATGCTGAGGCCGATGTTGCATTCATGATGCTCCTTCACCGCAGTTGGGTTAAACCAACATACCCTTAATCCAGGTCTTTCTAAGCTGGATAAATTTCCTTCCACTAGGGTTAAACCACGTACCGTTTACGGCATCTAATGTGATGAAAAGGCTAATGTCATTGCGCGTGCACAGCTCACCTGGCGTGGAGGACATCAAACCGAAAGCATTGAAGACAGCGGTCATGAACCTTGCCGAACCATTAGCTCGGTTCTTTCAATGTTGTCTGGACGAAATGCAGGTTCCCACAATGTAGAAACATGAAATAGTCACTCTTATATACAAAAGTGGTAATCGTTCGGAGCCCTCGAACTACCGCCCAATTACTCTCCTCTCAATGAACAATGATTTATCACGGGATGAAAGCAAGTGTTTGACACGCCCGTAGGACGGTTGGGGTGGATATAACGAAATCAAAATAAATCCGGGTCGTCTACCGATTGTCTGCCAAGATGAATACTTTGATAAATTATATCAGCATAAATTAAAAAAATCGAGCGTAAACGTTCAGAAAGACACTGGGGTACAATAGTCATTGATATGAGGCTTGGGAAAAGTAAAATATCCTCGCTCACTTGATCCCATTTGATACGTAAATCCTGTAGGTAAGCATGCTTGGCCTAATTCACAATAGTGGAGTTTAGGTAACAAAGTGCTGGGAGCTAAGAGCAACATCTAATCGTTTTTTTGAAAAAGGTCCAAGGTAGGGAAGGGTACAACTGAGTCTGGAAGTGCGTTCCAGGCTTGGCAAACCCGAAGGGGAAAGTAATTCCGTCGACACTCAGGACGGCTATATTGTTCCTTCAATTTTAAGCAGTTGCCCCTGAGCTGCGTGTTGTGGCTACGTTTCAGCAAATGGCGGCATACGTGGTTGGGATCACTCACTAACTGATACGCTAATATGAGATCCCCGCGCAGCCTTCGATAGCGTCCGCTGAAAATTCCTAGCAACTTCAGCCTTCGGTGGTAAGAGTGATAGCGCAGGCCCTTTACATTCTTTGTTGCTCTTCGTTGTGGTGCCTCTAACGCCTCTAGGTCGCGTTTCAACCAAGGTTGCCAAGCTTGCATAGCGTATTCTCAGTTTTATCCGAAATAATGGAACGTATAATTGCAGAGGCGCTCGTGTGATATGTTGAGAGCATCAACATCCTAGTGTCACAGCAACATGCATTCCGCCGAAATCCATCCTACACTACAAACTTGCTGCTAGCCCGAGCAAGCTGGATAGAGTCAGCCGATGCCAGAGTGGGAGTCGACCTTGTCTACCTGGACTTCTCGAAAGCGTTCGACCGTTTGGACCACCGCATTCTCTTTCACAAGCTTCGGGACTATGGAATCGATGACCCTGTGCTGGGTTGGATCGGCAGTTTCCTCGTTCCACGTCAGCTGAATGTGAGAGTCTGCAGCTGCATTTCCGACCCAGTTGACGTCCAGTGTGACGTGCCTCAAGGATCGGTAATGGGGCCACGTTTATTCCTCACATTTTGTAACGATCTTGGCAGTGTACTGCAGTCGAATTTCTTACTATTTGCAGATGATGTCAACATTCGGCATGATATCAGGACATCGGATGATCACATGGAATTACAGGGCGATCTCGACAAGGCTTATGCTTGCTCATCCGATAATCGGCTCTAGTTCAAGGTGACCAAGTACAGTCGTAAGCATACGCCATCAGCTTATCTCTGAATATCGAGATGGGGACCAACAGTTACAACGTGTTTCCCAAGAAAACGAAGTCGGGGTGATCGTGCAGGACGAGCTTGGTTACTCAAAACAGACTGAAAAGTCGTCGAAAAGTGTCAATCAACATCTCGGACTATTATGGAGGACTTTCAAAAAATTTGAGCTATCAGTCTTTCCGCAAATGCTGAACACCTAGGAGTGGCCTCACGTGGAATTTGCAACCCAAGCCTGGCGTCCCTGGCGCAAGGGTGACGTCGACGCACTTAAAGCTCCACATCGTACAGCGACCAAACTCGTTAGAGGAGTGTTTCATCTCACCTACCAACGCAGACTGCAGTGCCTGAGATAGTACAGTGGTGAATATGGACGTCAGTGAGGGGACCTAATCATGGTTTACTTACTACTGATGAACTCAGTTCACCCATGTCGCAATCTGTTGCAGCTGAGCCAAAATACCAACCTGAGAGGCCATCAGCTCAAACAGGCTATGCATTACAGTCAACTTGATTGTCGACGAAATGTTTTCTCCCTACGTGTGTCCTGTGCCTGGAATGCCCTTCCGACTCACGTTATCCTTGTCCCTACATTAACGCTATTCAAAAAACGCCTTGATGAAATGCTTTCAAACTTGCATTACTTGACATAGTCCGTTCCTTTTGGAGGACGAAATAAAGCAAACCAAACCATGTGTTTAACGGCCCTCTCCGAAACGTGCCGGTGAGGATACATGCAGAAGTGTCCATGTGAGTCGCCTGGATGTATCTAAACTGGATTAACCTACCACATCTGTCAAATGAAGAAGCAAACGTGTGAGCGTTGTCGTTACCTTTTCTCATTCTCACCCATTTACTGAACTATAACGGCACTCTATACTACTTTGTGTGTGCACATCCCATTCCCACTTCAAACTATCGTTATGCAATAGTGCATTTAAATAATTAGACACTTGAAATAACGATTTACTTATTCGATGATCCCTAAAATTTTAATTGTTACTCCGACCATCCTACGGAACCTGTCGAGCACATACGTTTTTACCGTGCTAAATCAGTGTTCATTGTTCTGTCTATCTGAATAATCAATTAATGCACATGTAGCTTACGTTAATTGTGGTTACCTTCGTTAAATGTATCGCGTTTGTGGCATTTTTTGAATTACTTGTGGACATTTTGCACTTATCGCGGATTCAATGCTAATCAACTTACTTCAAATGCTAATTTAGTGTTGAATTATGTCGGCATAGCCGCCTGCTTTAACAGATATACTTTATTTGCTAATGTTATTTCAAGTGCTTCGCTGTTGCTTGATATCCCCACTGTGGCTACGCTTGATGTGCATATTGACAAGGTGCCTACCTGTCTATTACCCACTACCTCGTCCATACTGGCTCCAGGAGACAGTTTGTCGTTGCTGGAGGGGACGGGGTGCACGGTCCTTGTTGCCGTGCCAGGCTAGAAGATTGGTTACATGCACTCCGTGTGGAGCGGTCCACGGTCCAGCCACCACCTTGTGTGCGCTTGATTCCCCAAATACAGCATGATTGTATTTGCCTGTGAAGGAGTGTGGGCCGACCCCGTTGCTGAAACCTGACTCCCATCCGCATGCCTCCCGCTCTTATTGCTTCGGATTTACACTGGATATAGGGTGTGTGTGGTTGGAGCTGTGTGTGGTGCAGAGCAAGTCACCCATGGTCCCTCTGTAGGCGCAGGCGTCCTGTGGCTGGCCACAGTGACAGACAACTCCGAACCCGGATGCCGCCAACCATATCCGTTTACCCCATTTAGTGGGAGCTGGTGAGCTGAATGTTTGTATGCACCTTGTCGTCGCTGGATGAGCGGTATTCAAATCAAGGATTGCATTTGGTGTGATGCATCGTCGAGTCGTTTTATAGAGATGGGTGGCTTGGGCGCAGAAATGACAAAGATCGAAAGAGCATTCCATGGCTTAACAATTTAAGGAAAAGAATTAATCTGGTGGCCTTCTAGCCAACTGTGCTGAGCAGCCACTTTCAGCTGGTGACCCCTCAGTTTGGTGTTCCGGCTGATTTTCAGGAGGCGACCGCAATCGTGACTGTGGTTTTCTAAAACCTGATAAACCAGAATGAGATCACACCGTTGACGACGATAATTTCCATAGGGTTTTCATTCACTGTTGGTAAGGCTGGGGTGACAATCCCTTCACGTTTTTGTTGCCCTTCGCTCTAGGGTCTCCAATGCAGCCAGATCGCGTTTTTGCCATGGTTGTCAGGCTAGAATAGCGTACTGTACTTGGGGCGTCACATATGCGATGAGCATTTCAGGGTAGACGGTAGTTGAACCACCCGAAAGCCCTCGGTAGAGAATCAGCTGCACGTGTACCGACGAGCACAAGAATTAGAGCACTGAGACTTCCACGGTTACCGAAAATTCAAACCTAATGGAAAGCACTTGCCAAGCAACACATAGTGTCACTGTGCAGGAAACTGCACCACTAAACTAATCAAACAAAATCTTATTTGAAAGCAAGAGTTTCATTTCAAGATATATACAACCGACTCGGACAGTGCAATAGTCTAGCTTGAACAGTGAAGGTGCGCTCATCCATGCCAGTTATCTGGAACCCTCATTTTATCGTCCCTACATCCGGGAACTGGTTTAGTACAATCTGTCCCAGATTGATCTCTGAGTAA